AAACCCCCTGAAACAAGGTATGACAGTAATGCCTCTAAAGTCAGCAGCATCCCAGGAATAAATCAAAAAGACATACCTTCTAGGTTCTGACACAAAAACTACAAAAGAATCCATTTTGTTTTTAACTTTAGAATGAAATCCTTTAGCAGCCCCTTCTTTTGGGACATTTAGATGTAATGGTGGATTGATTGTTCAATTAATTTTCTTAACTGGGTAAATCATTTGCATATGTACATGTTATATATGTGCATGTGTATACATTTTCACATTTCCTTTATACTTAAATGTGTACATCCACTAACCATTTCTTTCAGTGTAGTGGCAAATGCACAGACACTACACAGGTTTCCATGACACAGCTATTAAATACGAAAATGAGGGCCCACCTTTCAAAGAAAACAATCTTCACTGTGAGTCAAGATGTGCTATGACGTTGTTTGGCTCCATCATTTGCCATTGTCCCTCTCAGACCTGGTCATTATGCTGCCAATACCTTTGGTAATTCAGTCAAAGTTCAATTAACCACCCAAGACTTTGATTTATATTGACAAACATCTTAGTGACCAAATGTTTAACTACATTGACTAGAAATACTAACATAAACTCTTAGAAAAATCATATTCAAACTCTACTGCTGTAAACATATTTAATAAAACATATTTCTGAGGTAAAACTCACCTACATAAGAAACCATTTGGTTCTTCATATACTTTATATTTCCTTTCCCAATTCAAAATGATCTTCTATCTCAGAAGAGAAGGTAAAAGAAGTTTAATAGTGTCAGAAGTGTATAGTTGCTAACTTAGGGAACAGATGAAAAACTACCATTTGGTTACAGTATTTGTTTTATTAACTGCTACCTACAAAACTCAGAATCCACATTCTGGTCAATCATTTGCAATCTCTTGACATTCATACTACTTAGGTTACAGTCAGCCAGTCAACAAGTATTTATTGCTCTACCAAGCTGGTGAAATAAGCATAGCAATAATAATAAATTCCTTTTAGAGCTATATATCCTAGAAATGAAACTTTTAAAAGAATCATTACCTGTATAAAAACAGAAACAAATAATATTAAGGAAATATTACTTGATAGCACTAGTAAATGTCTTTTTCCCCTCACTTAAGAAACATTGGAAAAATGTCTTGAAGAGTTATTTATTAGAGAAAATGATTCACCTCATATGCACACAACACAATTTATTATTACTATTAGACTTTGAAAGATTTTTGTATTAACTTATTACTAAATGGAATTATCAGCTAATAAATGCCTATTGTGCTTTTCTGTATTTTTCAGTTGGGATTATAATTAGGATAATTGATATGTGTTAACCATGTTTAAAATTATAAAACCCAGATATTATAAAAATACTATAAAAAGTCATTAACAATATATATTTTAAACTAATACTATGATTGTACTACTGATCTCAATCCACACATTTATATTTTTCCCTTAGGAAAAATGACACAAATTAAAAAGAAAAACACCACAGGGGATTTTTAGGGCACATAACAGTAGAAATATGTCAATATATATTTTCAACAGCCACACAATGTAAAATACTAAAGAAAACCCTAATGTAAACTAGAGACTTTAATCAATAAAAATGTATTCAGTACTTACTCATAAATTGTAACAAATGTATGTCACCAATGCAAGATGTTAATAAGGATGACTGGGGGTTAGATGGAGATATGAGGGGGTAAATGTGAACTCTGTGCTTTCCATTTTATTTTACAGTAAATCTAAAACTAATCAAGAAAAACCAAAGCCTATTAAAAACAGAGAGAGAGAAATCAAACAAACATCATGACCATCTTGCCTTTGTATTGGTTAAACTCAGTCATCAAAATTAATAAAGTATCCCCTTTGTCATCAGCTACAAATTTAAATCATTTTAAAAATGATGCCACTATTGATCAATTTTGATGCAGTAAGTCCTATTAAACACAGATTCTATCATCTAAATTTGCTCCTCTTGGTGTGTGTACCTGTACCTTCTGTCCAGTTTCCAGCTTGAAAGTGACAGTGACAACAGGTGGAAGAGCGTGTAGAGACATTCATTCAAATTACAAATCCAACAATTCCTACTTATCCATTAAGACAGAAGGCAGTGGTATAAATTAGAGCATTGGCCTAGAAGCGATCATTATCATACATGTATGGGATTCTGGTTTCAGAGGTATTTGTAAAACTTAAGAAGCTTTTAAAATACAGGGTATAGACAGATGGCTCCGTCATTAACAATTATACAACTCCTCCTGGGCATTTAAGGAAAAAAAGGAGAAATGTTTCAACTGAGAGATATTCATGTTGGCTATTATTTTGGCATTCCCAAGCCTGACTTTTTATTAGGGTTCGATTTAGAGCTGTCTGAACGGCCTTCACCTAATGCCCAAGGCACTTATGTCCAGACCACTAACTGTATAAGCCCTTTAGCCTGAACTTGCCAGGAAGACCCATGTCTGCACAAGAGAAACCAGGAATGTAAAGAATGCTTGAAATAGCCGAGACCGGTTTGGCTCAATGGATAGAGCGTCGGCTTGGGGACTGAAAGGTCCCGGGTTCGATTCCGGTCAAGGGCATGTACCTTGGTTGCGGGCATATCCCCAGTAGGGGGTGTGCAAGAGGCAGCTGATCGATGACTCTCTCTCTCATCGATGTTTCTAACTCTCTATCTCTCTCCCTTCCTCTCTGTACAAAATCAATAAAATATGTTAAAAAAAAAAAAAAAAAAAAAAAAAAAAAAAAAAAAAAAGAATGCTTGAAATAAAATATCAATCCACCAAGGAGTTCCTGTTGTATACCTACTAGGCATCTATTACACAGAAATAATTTTCATAATACAAAGCATTTTAGAAGTATTAATACCTTGGTGTCATAGATGTCTCAATAATTCATAGCTAAATACAATGTTGACCTCAGAAAATGTTTCATGAAAATAAAATTGTTTCCACTAAGAAATATATTCAAAATGTGAGTGAAATGGTAATGTCCATTTTAATAGTGAAGGAATCCAAGAATTCAGAAAAATACATTAGAGAAAAACTTAAAACCAAAATATCCATGGCAAAAATGAAATTTCCTACTTCCCATAGTCTTACAATAGTTAACCTATCACTCTGCTTTATCAAAATCAGAGCCAGAACTAAGCAGAATTTTAAAGGTGACTCAGAACAAATAAAAACTAAAATATTAATGATTACCTCAGGTGTCCATATTATCTGTCTCTCTCTGAGTTCATATTTTACTTTTTAAGGTTTTTCTCCAGAACTAGGACCTTACTTTAAAAAAAAAAAAAAGTCTTTAAATATTTTCAACTACCTCTTTTCTCACCTTCTTGGTATTCCCTTTCCAACTTCCAAATCAATTTCAGTTCTATTCAAACTCACTTTCTATTTTGAAAACCTACTGCATTTCAAAGTTAAGAAGAAGAAGAAAAAAAGAAGCATTATTCTAAGGAAATTTCCTGAGTCAAGTGGCATAAATTAAGCTCTTCAGGAATGAACACTGAAGTGATTCCAAGGGTTGACAGAACTGTTCTCAGCTGCTAAGACTCAACTAACTATACCATGACCACGAGCACAGATCAGATCCGAGTTTGGGTTCACTCAAGGCCTATGACATTGATAACAAGCAGGCCTCAAAATTTTGACTTACCACTGACAGACCCAGTTTAGCCTCATCTTGGCTGGGTTCCTAGGACAAATTCAGGAACAACATAAAAAGAAATACTATTCAACAGGCTAAATTCAAATTATGAGAAAATAATATGGATAGAAATAAAAAAATATTCAAAAAGTTGAAATCCTTCTATAAAATAAAATTAGATGTCACAGGATCTGTCTGTGTCAGCAGCTCTCGCACTTTTTTCTGTGCATCAGAGATTATTTATTAAACTCCACTGGCAACAGTTCTTGGGCAATGGATCTGTTGGAGCCTTAGGAAAACTGCATGAGTAACAAACCCCTTCATACTAACGTGGAGGGTCTGACCATGCCCTTTGTGTTATGTATACCTTGGTCTTACCCTTTGCCTCACCTCTACCTGTATGTCACCTGTATGTCTCTGGATTCCAGCCTATTTCCCCATTGGTACAGAAAAATGAATGAAAACTATCTTTGTTGCCATCAGTAGCTATGGACAGGTGAATTTTTTTTTTCTTTCATGGCATGTGGTCACTCTTTCTATCCTAAAAGAAAACACTGAAGGGCATTAAGGTCACACTTGTCAAACATAAATATTTTTTTCTTCTACTTGCCAAATAACATAAATGACTTATATGTGTTGCCCATTCCTTAACCTAAGCCTTCACTTCTAAAAACAACAAGCTGTTAAACACAGCTTTTTTAAAGAATGAATGACAAGGGTGGAATTTCTCCACTCTCCTGCCGATCGTATCTCTCCCTGCACTACTGGCTTTGTGAACGAGAGATTTCTTCACCTGATCTAGGTGTACAGTTCACCTGAACTATCCAGCTATCTCCACTCAACACCACCCTTGGCCAGCTGAGAGCTGGTCATTGTGTGTTTAGAAGAACCCAGTAGCTAATATGCCTTTTCTATAAATTAAAAGTCTGTGTGATTTTCTAGCAAGACTGACTGGAGTCCACTCCAATACTGTATTTTAGAGTTGTCATTTTTCCCCCCACATTTTAGAAATTAATCATATTCAGTACATTAAAATGATGTTACTTCTGTTAAAACTACTTTAAACTGCACTGCAAGTATACTGTTAGAATCACTTAGCAAAGACATCGCTTTCACCTCGGGGCTTGTGGGGAAGGGACACTGTGTTTCACCAATAGCTCCATTCACAGCCAGGGCTGAGTGCTGACATACGTTTTAAGGAGGCACAAACCACAGCATTTAAAAGATTGAGCAGCGTCACCCGCCAAGACTAATAACTTTGCAAAAGACAGCAAATCTTGCTCTGACTTGAAACACAGAAGAAAGCAACACGCGTCCAGAGGTTCGGCACAGGCTCTTACCAGAAACGGGCTCCAGCAGACGCAGGAGACGCACATGATAGCCAGGAGCTGGATGATCATTTCGAAATGGTGAGACCTGCCTTGTCTGTGCTGCTGACTTCTAAACTTCACTCTTAAGAGGGTAACTCCTGTGACGGCATTGCACACGAAGGAAACCCCGAGGGCTAAGAGCCCCAGGAAAGAAAAGAGGAGAAGGTAAAACCTATCTTCCCAGTCTTGGATATGTTCTGTTTTGTAGAAACACCAGGTCCTCGAGGCTTGAATCTGATAGTCTCGGTGCCCGAGGATGGGCAGCAAAGCCACGAAAACAGCAAACAAGCACACCCCGGCCAGCATCACTTTCACGTGCTTGGACGTGATTTTTGTAGAATGGAATATCGGTTTGGTGACTCCGATGCACCTCTCGATGGCCATCGCGCTGCCCAGGAAAAGGGGGCACAGGCCAGAAAACACCATGGAGATGCCAAAAATACTGCACAGGATGTTTGACTGGTCGAAGCGGATCCAGTCTTTGTCGGAGGCATAAACGAACACGGCTATCGTCCCGTTGACAAGGTGGCCAAAGAAGTCTGTGATTACCAGGCCACTAGCCAAGAGCAGAAAGGACGCCTTGGACTTCTGCCTGAATCTCTGATAGGCCTTCATGAGTATGGCAATGGCGAGGCTGTTTGATAAGATCCCCACCGTCATGAAGATTATGGAGAAAAAGACAGAGAGCCGGTTGCCCGTCTGGCACGTTGTATTGGAAAGGAGCCCAGCTGCGGGAGACACTGGCTGTTTGGAAGTGTTCATGGACATGGTTGTGGAGATAGACGGGGGCTGCTCAAGTCATCTCCCTCTGAGACGAGTGCAAGCTTGTCCTCCCAGCATCTGTGGCATAAAGACAGAGGAATGATAGCACTGCAGAACTGCTCCTCCAGTACAGAAGGCCGAAGGGCCCCAGTCCCTTGTGGTAGGCATCAGATGCAGCCGACCTATCCTAAGCAGGGTTGCATCATCCTGAAGGCAGCACACCTCTGCCCGTGGTCCCCTGTCTCATTTTTCAGGAAAAGAAGCTGCGGAGACTGAGGCTCCCTTGATTAACCTCTTGATGGGTTTGCAAAGTCACTAACAAGATGAGATTGAAACCCAGTAAAGTGTGAAAAAGCCCCAGTCTATGTAAATAACTAGATGATCTTCTAAAGTTTCTGGGGTTTTTTGTTTGTTTGTTTGTGTTTGTTTGGTTGTGTTTTTTTGGAGGGGAGGGGAGTTCCCAAATGGGCTTTGTCCCCAAACTGCAGATTATTGCTTGGATAAACGACCTGTTTGCCAGGCAGACAAAACAAGCTTCCCCAAACCTTGGGAGGAGGCAGCAAGGTCACTGGTGCTACATGGGGCTTTCCTCAATTAAGTTCTGAAACTATTTTGATTGAGATCAAATAACAGCTCACCGCACGCACCAGCGACCCAAGGGAAGGCAGAGCGGTGAGTCTCTAGGAAGGCTTTCTGGGGCAGCTGCCACCTGCGCAGAAATCCCAGGAAGGGAGGCGAGCTGTGTGCGAGGCGCACATCTGCCCAGCGGATGTTGGTTAAGCTACAGCTTAAGCGTAGCCACGTAGCAACGTCAGATGCGAAGTATGTTTCGTCGCTCTTTGCTTCATGCCTTGAGGCCTGAGTCACAGACCCTCAATACCCACGACCAGACCCACCCCGCCGGGAGGTAGTCCCATTGGCCTTTTCCCAAGCAGCTTTCCCGGAGGCTGGGAATGCTTGGAACCAGCCTGCCCCGGGACCCGCCCGACTGGGTCTGCCCAGGCTGCCTCCTTCAAATCTTACTCACCGCCCGCCTTTCTCACATTACTGCCCCCCTCCGCCCCCATGTGTCTGTTTGCAACATCCTTCCCAAACCTCCTTCCTTGCTGAAACTTTCTGCAATCGCTCAAGTACCAGCGGGCCGGTTTTCCTCCCACCACCCTGGGGGACACCAAAAGCCAGATTTCCTCCCACCCACCCTCGGGGGGGGGGGGGGGGCGCCAAAGGCCGGTTTTCCTCCCACCCCGAGGGGCTCGGGGCCCCAAAGGCCAGCGCTGGCCAGGGTGCCGGACTCAGGGTCTGCCGGGGGGGCAGGGAACCACAGGCGCAAAGGGGATCATCTCCTTCTTGCCCGTTTCCCTCTTCTGGGATCCTGTCTACCTGTTCCTCAAGCCGCTGCTAAGAATGGGAATGGATCCGCCCGAGTACCCTTCTGTCTATGGGTCTCCCCACCGCGGGCATCTGGTCCAAACTTGTGGCCACACGCAGGCTTAGGCGCCCTCCTGGGCGTCCGGGGCTGGGGTGGCTACAGCTCGGTGGCAGTTGAGCATCCGGAGGCCAATGCTTGGGAATCAGCGGCTGGAGGGGTGGTTACCTGGCATCCCGGGCTCGGAGGGCTCACGGCGGAGCAGAGGAGCGCGCCGCTCCTTGCGCCATCGCCACGGTGCCCGGCGCAGCGCTGCGCTCCCGGCTCGGGCTCGGGCTCGGGCTCCAGCTGAGTCCCGCTGCCGGCCCCGCTGAACGCTCCCCCTGCGCGGAACCTGCCGGTCCTGCTCCTTTCCTCGGATCCCTCAGCACCTAGCGGCGCTTGCAGCCTGGGAGGGATGGAGGACAAGGGTGACCTCCGCCCCTTTCTCTTCTCTCTCCTCTCCGCCCCCTTTTCCGTGAGCCCAGAGATGGACTGAGAGATGGAGATGAGGGCATCGCGCTCCCATGCTATGCCCCACCACCACCACCACCACCACCCCAGCATCAGAGCTGCTCTCTCGTCGCCTGACCACTTTGCGAAGAAAAGTTTTGTTACAAACTCGTTTTCAAGCTCAAGGCGCCATCTCGAAGGCTGCAAACTAGGAATCTGGGGAGGTGAGGACAGCTTACAAACAGCTGTGGTAACAGCGTGTTGGACTGTCAGATTGTAATTTGTTTGCAGACTGAACTGATCCCACATCCAGCTCGAATAGGGTAGGGAAACCAGGTAGAAAGATGGAGCCGGTGATGGTGTATGTGAGGAAGGGCTTTGGGGCTGATAGCCTCAGGGAGCTAAAAACGGGGATTCAAGCCACATGTTGTGAATGGAAACAGTCACTGCTTAGGTTCACTGTCACTTAGAGGGCTGGACTGCATTTCAAGCTACTAAGTAATGTGGGGAAAGGAAGGGATGTGGGGTATTCTTAAAGGGCACCTGCAGATAAGGGATTAGTAACGTTTTAATTATTTAAAAAGAATATGTTTAAAAAGTGATGTGTTTACCCAAAGAGATGTGAACCTAGCAGATATTGTGGGGATCATTTTACGATCAAGAAGTATCCACTACTTCGTTAGAAATTACAATTTTAGCCATTTTAATTCTATACCTGCTTTTTGTTGATATCGTTTTGACCCATACCTATTAAGTAGGCCTCATTTTCCAGATAAACACTGAGGGCATCTATCACTGACCTTTGCTCTTTTTATTTTAGAGCAGTAGTGCCACGACCTATGGCAAAAATCAGTGCCACATGGAAATAAACCCTCTTTTCTCCATTCTAAAGCCAGAAGGGACATCTAAATTCCTGTAAATTAAAAAGGATCATAAAATGCTTAAGCAAGATAACATAAATTAGCCATTAACTGTAGAAAAGAACAATTGCACAGTTTTCCCCTATAATAGATATTGAGGGTTTTTTTTTAATGATATGATTGTAACTTGTAAAATAAATCATTACTCATGTATGGTTGGGAAATTAAACAATTTGAGTAATCAAATATTTTGTTTAGTAGAATAATATTTTATCTAGATGGCTAGTATTCAAAAAAGAAAAGAATATGTAATAAACCACAGTAAAAAAAATTGAATGGCATAGAGCACTATTCTTTCTTTTTAATGATTAATAGCACTTAATCAGTTTACATTGCAATTATCTGTTTACTTTTGTCTCCCACACTGAACCAAATTTCCGCAGAGATCTTGTTCATCTCTCCATCCTCACCTAGGACTATGCCTGGTCACTTATCAAATGTTGTTTGAGTTCATCAATGTTACAATCAGCATTCCAGTATTATAGTTCGATGTCTCTCACTGGGACACTTCACTAACATCAGAGGCTTTATCTACTGGGTGAAAAAAGAAAAAAAATTTATTCGTGCAATGTCAAATCATAACATTCATTATGTAATATATTTAAAATATTGATTTGGTTTTCAGAGTACTAGATAAATTCCATTTTTTTAAAATGGATATTTATTTTGCATATATTCTTGGAGTTCCATTTTTAGAATCTATTCCTTTGTCAAGATCCATTTAATCTGAATATCCGTAAAAGATTCTAAAGCACTCACACCTCTTCTGCTCAAGATAGAAAGAATATGTTACCATTAGTAGTAATATGGGAAATTAAACAACTAAATATCCTTAAAAGAAAAATACAAACACACACACACACACACACACACACACACACACACACATGCTCAAGTTAGGGAGAAGAACTAGTTAATCAGCAGATCAGGGAAATAAACAGATCAAAAGTTAGTAGATGTTGGGGGAAGGCTGAAAAAGTCTTCTGAAAAGCAGTAGTTGGTATTGTTATTTCTGAGAAGTGGACACTCATGTTAAACTATTCATTTATACCTTCAAATTTCTTGAGGACCTCCTTTGTGTCAGGCACTGTTTGTAGGAGGCAGGGGTACAGCTGTGCGAACAAAGCATAGCAGCCCCAGCTCTGCATGGCTTCTAAGCCGGAGGAAGGCACTTAACTTCGGAGTGTGCATGCATGCTCAAAATCTTCATGTGATTTTATATGTCCAGGACTCCTTGTGTTAAATGTCAGCCTGTCCATGGAAGACAGCATACCAAGACAGGTGTGTGTGTGGCAATCACTCTCATTCAGGAGATACAGGATGCTTTGCTCAGAAGATGTGACACTGAGGTTGAAATGAGAACCTTATAAAAACCAGAGGACTGTTGGAAGTTGATTTTTATAGTTTTAATAAAAATGTCAAGAAAAGCTTTTCCTGAATTCACCATAAAGATTAATAGCAGAAACATGCCCCAGTTTGATAGTAATGAAAAGAATAATAACTCCTTTTGTCTTTTATTTTTATTATGTAAACATTTGGTACATAAAAAGTAACATGTAACACATTTAGAAGTCATAAACCATAATATAAAATAAACACCCATGTATCTACTACCTAGTGTAAGGATTGCTGAAGCAAAGTACCACAAACTGGGTGGATTAAACAAAACAAAAAAATTTTTTTTTTACAGTCTGGAGATTAGCAGTTTAAAAACAAGGTGTTGGCAGGGTTGGTTCCTTCTGAGGGCTATGAGGGAGAATCCGTTCTATCTTGCAGTCAGAATGATCTAAGTATAAGTTCCAAGACCAGACTGGTCAAGCTCATATTCAAGATCCTCCACTTATAACTAGTTTCATAATTTTAGGAAATTACTGAATTCTTTTATGCTTTGGTTTTTCTCATTTCAACAGTTCATAAAAGAATACTAATACCCTCCTCGTGGACTTGTTATGAAATAAAGTTAATTTCAGTGCTTTGGAGAGAACCTGGTGTATCATTTGTGGTAGAAAATGATCATTTCTTTATAACATGCAAATAGGGGTCTGTTGGGCCACAACTTACAACCATAAAGTGGCTTCCCTTTACTCATCATTTTCCCCAAGGAGATTCTCAGAGGCCTCAGTTCAGAAGAGGTTAATTTTTTTAAATATAAGTTAGCTTTGGAAAAACTGTTAAACAAATATTAAACAGAATTCTTCACCAAAGAATAGATACTCATGTGCCCTATAAATCTTGTAGAAGGGAGAAGATGCTCAGTAGGCCCCACTGGAGAGGGTCCCACTGGGAAGCATTGCTTGGGAAGTGCTATTGTCACCCTAAGGATCAACTCTGAATGCCTTCACGTGTTTTTCAAGGCCCTTCCTAATCACCCCAGCTATCCCTTTCACTGGAGCTTAACCCTCATTCCTTGCCCCTACAACTCTATGCCTCAGCAGCACTAACATTCTCAGAGCCTGAAACCTGCCTGTTGGCCTTCACTCACCCCCTATTTTGAACAATTTTTCTTCAGCCCTTCATGCAGTGCCTGGCTCCTATTCCGGCTTCATGGCTAGCTCCCCACACATTAGTGTGCTTTCTATACACCATGCTATCTGTATGTCTGCATTACCACTGTGTTTCCTGCGCCCTGCACATACTGTGGAGGTACTCAGGAATGAATGAATGAATGAATGAACGCAAGTAGGCATGCCACAGATATGGAAACCTAAGCGCAAAACGTTAAGTAACTTGCCTGATTAGAATGGCAAACACGTGGGACAAAACCAAGTCTTGTTTTACCACAAACCCGTATACTTACCAACTTTTCCAATTGCCTCTGGGCTTAATAAATCACCAAGTCCTGTCCTTTACACAGAGGGTTTGTTGCTACTAATCCTACCACCAGAAAAAAACAGATGCCTGTGTTGTTTTTCTTTTAGTGCAATAAGTTTTGCAACAATCCATCTACACTCTTTCACAACATTCAAGGCCAACAGTGGCACTGCTAAGCGCTAATGTTCTTGTTAACTCTTCATGACAAGAGCAGAACAGAAAGTCTGTGAGGTGGAAAGGAGGGAAAGGTTGGATTGATAATATTCATTGATTTCCTGCCCGGTGCCCAGCACTGTGACAGGGTCTTTTCATGCACACATTAACACCCCAGGTGGTTAATTTTATCCTCATTATACAGAGGACAGGTGAGAAAACTGAGCCCAAAATGCATAAATTATTTGCCCAAGATATAAGACAAACCTGAAATACTCT